GCTGAAGGGACACAATGGAACAGCCACAAGCATGACGACTCTCCATGCACTTGAAGCCATGAACACAGAGACAGGCTCCTTGTTCTTGTTGGCACAGCAGGGATAGGATATGCACAAAATATTCAAGAGATGGAAGTGTACCTTGAGCTTGTAAATATATATGTTGAGCTTGTAAAGCTGGCCTTGAGATGGGCCAATCTGGAAAGACAAGGGGGAGAGTTCTGACAGCACATGGGCACAGCATGGCAGAAACAATCACAGAGTTGGAAGAGAACCCCTAAGGCCATCCAGTCCAAACCCCCTTCATTCTACCAGGCAGGAAACACACAATCAAAGCAACCCCAACAGATGGCCACCCAACCTTTTGAATAAAAATAATAATAGCAATAATTTTTTTTCGTGTCAGGAGCGACTTGAGAAACTGCAAGTCGCTTCTGGTGTGAGAAAATTGGCTGTCTGCAAGTACGTTGCCCAGAGGACGCCCCAAAGTTTTTGATGTTTTACCATCCTTGTGGGAGGCTTCTCTCATGTCCCTGGAATGGGGAGGTGGAGCTGATAGAGGGAGCTCATCCATGCTCTCCCCAGATTTGTACCTCTGACCTGTCGGTCTTCAGCCCTGCCAGAACAAGGGTTTAACCCCATTGCGCCACCGGGGCCTCCTAATAATAATAATAATAATAATAATAATAATAATAATAATAATAATAATAATAATATAGTTGGAAGAGACCCCAGGGGGCATCTAGCCCAACCCCTTTCTGCACAACAGGAAAAGCACAACCAAAGCCCCCTGATAGATGGCCACCCAGCCTTTATAATAATAATAATAATAATAATAATAATAATAATAATAATAGCATAAACCCCAGAGGCTATCCAGTCCAACCCCCTACTTCCATGCAGAAAAAGCACAATCAAAGCACCCAAGCCTTTCTAATAATAATAATAATAATAATAATAATAATAATAATAATAATAATGTCAGAGGGCACCAAAGGCCTGGAGAACATGATTCCCTCTGATGATGATGTTCATCGTCGTCGTCGTCGTCTTCTCCAGGCCTTTAGTTTTCCCTGACCTTTCCAATGGGGAAGTTCAATCAAAGCAGAAGCCTGTTTACTCCCATTCGAGGAAACCTGAACATCTGTGAGGAAGTGGGGTGGGAGAGAGGGATGACTCAGAGGAGAAATGTGGAGCTGCTGATAAGAAATCCACACTTGTTTCATTCCCAAAAGGCCCAGCAATCCCAGCGTAGCTTGTGGAAGAGAAAGGACAAAGAAGGGTGAACTACTGGAACTTTCTCTATTGGTTTGCTTCCCATTTCCATTCCCAAGTTTTGCCTCTCCCTTTCCTTTACCTCTGTGGCCCATCCCTCCGTTCAAGTTGAAATGTCTCAAGGGACAAAACTGTGTCTAATTTGTTTATATATGTATGTATACACACACACACACGCACACACACATATATATAACTAATATTGTGCTATGATAATAATATATTGCATATACATATATTGATAATAATATAATACAATATAATACTAATAAAATACAATATAATATATAATATGATAATATAGTAATACTAATATACTAAATATAATTACTCCTGATCATATATAATATATAATGATGTACTGTTTTATTATTGTGTATTTTTATATTTGAAGCTGTAATGTTTTTGAATGTGAGCTGCTTTGAGTCTCCATACGGAGAGATAAAGCAGGATGTAAACAAACAAATAAATAATGCACTGATATGAAGTGTACAGTGTGCAAATATGTAGAAATGGCCAAACAATGGGATCTAAGTGGAAGATATTCCACTGACTCCTACTACTATTATTTTCTGATCTCTGCTGTAAGTGCCATTGCTGATTCAACACCAAACACTAAGATCCCTCCATATAAAGGTGGCATCAAAAGGCAAGGGGAGGCCAAGGTTGGAAGAAGAACAAAGCCTTTTGAGAAAGAGGACTGAGCCAACTCAACGGTAGAGGAAGACTGACAGATGGGAGGATAATGGAAGAAGGGCCCTTCCCAGGGCATCATTTTGTGGGAAGTTGCCCCCTTGAGTGAAGTCATAGCCATTTGCTTACTGCAAATGGCTTCTGGAAAGCAGATGGCTATGACTTGGCTCAAGGGGGAAGCTTCCCACAAAACATAATTGCTCTATCAATATTTAACATTTACAAAAATGACCAGCCACTGCCAGAAGGGACAGAGAGTTTAATCTATGCTGGCGACCATGCCATCACCACTCAGGCAGGGAGCCTTGAAATGGTTGAACAGAAGCTCTCTGAAGCTTTAGGTGTTCTTATTGCCTATTACCGGGAAAACCAGCTCATTCCTAATCCATCTAAAACGCACACGTGTGTTTTTCAGGCATGGTTTTGGGACCAGGCTTTTGGACAATAGATGCAAACAGCACTTTAAGAGAACGTGACTGGAATGACGATATGGCTGATGAGACTGTTTTACTGTTTTAACAATGGCTTATGGTTAATTATGCTTTTATGTCTAATTGTGGTTTTAATTTTATAATTTGTTATGTAATGGCTTCGGAATGGGGCCCATTGTAAGCCGTCCTGAGTCCCCCTTCGGGGGTTGAGAAGGACGGGATAGAAATGTGAGAAATAAATAAATAAAGAACAAATAAGCATCTCGAGCTCTAAGGATTACCTGGAAAGGAATCCTGCCGGAGAATTGCACCACACCAAAATACCTGGGAGTTACTCTGGACCGTGCTCTGACTTACAAGAAGCACAGCTTGAATGTCAAGCAAAAAGTGGGAGCATATGAAGGCAGACTGGCACAACCTGGGGATCACAACCAGTCACAGTGAAGACATCTGCCCTTGGGCTTTGATACTCTGCTGCAGAATACGTATGCCCAATGTTGAATACATCTTACCACGTTAGAACAGTGGATGTGGCTCTGTTATGCCACATTATCCCAGGATGTCTATGCCCCACACCACTGGAGAAATTATACTGTTTGGCTGGTATTGTGCCACCTGATATCTGCTGGGAAGTAGCAGCCTGTAATGAAAGGACCAAGGCATTGACACCTCCAGTCCATCCTCTGTTCGGACATCAGCCAGCAATCAAACTCCTTAAATTAAAAAACAGCTTCCCAAAATCTACACAGATACTCACAGGAACACCTCAGCAAGTGAGAGTCCAAAAGTGGCAGGCTAAATCCTGGAACCTCAATCAGAGGGTGAAACTGGATGAGAGATTCCCTCCTGGGCACACAGAAGACTGGGCAACTTGGAAGGCGCTGAAGAGACTGTGCTCTGGCACCACGAGATGCAAAGCCAATCTTAAGAAATGGGGGTACAAAGTGCAATCCACGACATGCGAGTGTGGAGAAAAGCAAACCACAGACCACTTACTACAATGAGGTGTGAGCCCCACCACATGCACAATGGAGGGCCTTCTTACAGTGACACCAAATGGCCAGCTTCTTGTCAAAGAAAATTTAGTATAAGGCCAAATTTTTAACTTTGTGGTTTTTCTATACATTATAACTGTATTTTCAATTTGCTTCTGACACAATAAATAATAATAATAATAATAATTATTATTATTATTATTATTATTATTATTATTAAAACCAGTCTAGCTCCCTCCATCTATCAGTGAAGGAGGAGTCCCAGTGTTTGCTCTCCACCACACCCGGTGCAGGAAAACACTTGGCTCCAAACACAAGGACGTTTTCATAGCATTGTATACCCCTAGAGTTGGAAGAGACCCCCAAGGGCCATCTAGTTCAACCCCTTCTGCCAGGCAGGAAAAGCACAATCAAAGTATCCCTGACAGATGGCCATCCAGCCTCTGTTTAAAAGCTTCCAAGGAAGGAGCTTCCACCAGACTCCGAGAGTTCCTCTATTGAACAGCTCTCCTTAGTCAGGATATTCTTTCTAATGTGCAATGGAATCTCTTTTCCTGTCATTTGATCCCACGGCTCTTCCTTATGACAACCATTCAAATATGTAAACATCGTTCTCATGTCTCCTCTCAACTTTCTCTTCTGCAGCTAAACATGTCCATCTCTTTAAGACACTCCTCATAGGGATTATTCATGGTCTCCAGACCTTTGATCCTTTTAGTCACTTCTTTCTCTGAATGCCTTCCCACTTAGAGTCAATCTCTTTTCAACTGTGGTGCCCAGAATTGGAAACAGTATTCCAGGGAAAGAGGTCTGACCAAAGCTGAATAGAGAGGCACTGTGACTTCTCTCAATCTGGACACTAGACTCCTTTTGATGCAGTCCAAAATCCCATTGGCTTTTTTATATGCAGCATCACACGCTTGGCTCGTGTTTAGCTTGTTGTCCATGAAGACTCCAAGATCTTTCTCACAGGGACTGTTGTCGAGCCAGGCGTCATCCATTCTGTATCTTTGCATTTCATTTTTCCTGCCCAAATGTCCTTATTGAAATGCATTTTGTTAGTTTTGGCCAATCCGCTTTCTAATCTGTTAAGATCCTTTTGCTTTCTGATCCTGTCCTCTGGAGTATTATCTCCCCCTCCCAATTTGGTTCCATCTCCAAACTTGATCTGCCTGCCCTCTAAACCTTCATCCAAGTCATTAATAAAGACGTTGAACAGAACTGGGCCCAGGACGGAGCTCTCTTTCCGGCATTCCACTAGTCACTTCTTTCCAGGATGAAGAGGAGGAACCACTGGAGAAAGCACCCTGTGGGTTTGATTAAGTGATCAACAGTTATCTACCTCACAGTAGCATTGCCTAGCCCACATTGGAGTGGTTTGCTTGTAGGAAGGTCATGGGGAACTCTGTCAAAGGCCTTGCTGAAATCAAGGTATGCTCCATCCACAGCATTCTCTGCATGTACCAAACTTGTAACTCTACCGAAAAAAGAAATAAGATGAGTCTGGCATGACTTGTTTGGACGTCTTCTCCATGGCCAAGGGCTGACAGATTGTCCTGGGTGCCCGGGCCTTCTCTGCGCAAAAAGCATGGCATCCTTTGCTTACCTTGTGTAACGGCAGGACCAGGAATGCCCCACCTCCGCTGGCCTCGATGATGATGGCCACGAACTTGGGGTTGACAGCGCAGAATGCACTGTCCCAGGTGACGCGGGAAACGCGGATGTCATCGTAGCACTGGTCATTCTTCACCGCCTGGCCAAAGACATGCCGGAATTTGCTCTGCCGCACCACCCGTCTCATTGTTTCTGCAGGAGGAAGAAAAGGTAATGAGCACCAAGAATTCTTCCCCCAATTTCTTCCACAGAAGATTCCTTCCTGGTTATGCTGCCAAAAGAATGGCTACTTTTACTCATCTATTCTCATATTCAGCCCTTCATAATCAGCTGTACCAAACCGAGTTCACTTTCTGAAATCTTTGCACCTAGTGTTCCACTTCCATATTTCATTTCACACAATTCACAGTTCACCATAGTTGACCAGGACATCATCATCATTATCATCACTACTAATACTAAATAATACTAAATAATAATAATAATAATAATAATAATAATAATAATAATAATAATAAATTTGTAATATGCCCTATCTACCCGAGAGGACTCAGGGCGGTTTCCAACAAGTAACAAAATGGCAAACATTCAATGCCAAAAACAGACTAGCAACAAATCAAATCGAAGACAATAGAAAAAACAATCTTAATATATATACACATAATACACATAATAAAAGTGAAAACATGTATATGTGTGTGTGGCTGGGGTGTCCACTTACAAACAAGCTCCTGCCTCCACAAACATCTATAATTCCCAACACTAAGGAGACACCAAATACCCTCCTTCTAACTGCAGGTTAGAGTGAGCGCCATGAACATGACCAAGAGCCCTGCCAATGACCTCCACCAAGACCATATTGCCCACCACCCAAGTGAAGGCTTTCATGTGGGCTCCATTTCATCCTAGATTTTCTGTTTCCTCCACCACAGGCATCCCAGTGTTTCTTACTCTCTCCATTGGTGTAGAATTTGCATGACCCCGCCCACTGCCTCTCCCTTAACCCTTTTCTATTCTTTTCTATGGCACACAGAAAACAGAGGAATTGATCAACAACTGAACATACTAAAGAGATTTGGGAAGAACTCATGATTTTATAGGGGTTGTAGGTTCTGGGATGTATAGTCCTCCTACAATCTAAGAGCACTCTTAACTTCACCAACGATGGACCTGGAACTAACTTGGCACACATAACCCCCATGACCAACCAAAAATACTGGAGGTCTTTGGAGGGAGTTGTAGTTCACCTACATCGAGAGCACACCATGGACCCAAACAAGGATGGATCTGGACCAAACTTGGCATGCATACCCAATATGTCCAAAGTTGAATACTGGTGGGTTTTGAGGGTAATTGGCCTGGACATTTTGGAATTATAGGTTATATGGATTTATAGTTCACCTGCAATCAATGAGCACACTGAACTCCACCAAAGACGGACATAGACCAAACTTGGCACATGGAGCCCCCATGACCAGCAAAAAATACTGGTGGTCTTTGGGGAAAATTCCCATTGTTTTGGGGGAGTTGTAGTTCACCTAAATCCAGAGAGCAATGTGAACCCAAACACCAATGGATCTGGAACAAACTTTGCACACATACCTGAAATATGATTGCTGGAGGGGTTTGGGGGGAACTGACCTACCTTTCCCGGAGTTGTAGTTCACCCACAACCAGAGAAACTGTGATCTTCACCAATAACTGTCCTGGACCAAAATATTTGTATATGTTAATTTGTCATGCTTTTTATTATGAGCCACTTTGGTCTCCGTATGGAGATATAAAGCAGGCTATCAATCAATCAATCAATCAATCACCGCTTTGGTGGCTTGATACACGGCTTGTTTCTCTTCCTGGCAGATTGGTCAACGAACAACACCAAACTTCCTGATAGAACATTTCCTAAAATGTCTTGAAAAGTAAAGGGTTTATTATTTATTTGCCAGCATAGCAATCCTTGGAGGCGGGGAGAGGGTTACTCAGTGGGTTTTTTAAATGACTGAGCTGAGACTAGCACCCAACAAACCCTTGGTTGATTTCCTGGCTTCCAACCAAACCTCAGACTTCTTGATGGCCTCCTACAAGCAGAGTGGCAATCTATAAAAGACCCCAAGCTCCAGGAAAAGGCTCTGCTTAGGAGCTAGCTGGAATCCAGTCTGAAACACTGCCAAGGATCTACCAAGCAAGAGAGGAAGAGATCCTAACACAGTGGTTATAATGATAATAAACAGGGAGGAGGAATTAAGACAGTAAATAAAGAACACCACTCAGCAACAGGGGAATTCCAGACAGCAAACAATCAAGTGCCAGTTAACACCTCCCAAACAGAGAATGCCTCCAGACACTACAGCCAGGCCACCTCTAGGCTGCTACCTTGACTGATTGACTTCACAGCTGCAAGGTTACACAATGCTAATCAAGCTAGCTAATTACAACATTCACACTTGCTTCAAACAGACCAGGGTTCTTTCTCCCACCCTGGGCATTATTCCACAAGAGTGTGTGTGTGTATATACACACACACACACCGCTTGCTTCACTACCTCTATGCAGATACCCTCACTTATTGACTTTGCAAACTTTGTGGCTACTCAGTGCTATTCAAGCTTGCCACTGGCAACATTCACACTTACTTCACTCAGACAAGGGTTCTTTCTCCCACCCTGGATATTATTCCACAGGGAGATATATATACACTCCACTTGCTTCAATAGCTCTATGGAGATACCCTCACTGATTGACTTTGCAGCTGCAAGGCTACTCAATGGTAATCAAGCTATCTAACTCCAACATTCACACTTGTTTCAAACAGACCTGGGTTCGTTTTCCCTCTCGGACATTCCACAGATATAGATATACATTCCACTTGCCTCACCTCCAGCAGACCTCTGAAGATGCTTGCCACAGATCCAGGTGAAACGTCAGGAAAGACTGCTACTGGAACATGGCTATTAAAGCCCAAAAAAACTCACAGCAACCCACTGATTCTGGCCATGAAAGCCTTCGACAACACAGTGAAGACGACTCTCTGCCCGAGAGAAGAGAAAGCCAGAAAGGAATGATCAGGCAGAAATGATCTGCTGAAAGAGAAAAGGGGGAGGCTTGGCATATCTGCAGTATAGACATCTGTCCCCTGAGAAGAGGAGCCAGCTTTCCATTGTCGTGGGGATGAGCCCAACAGCTGTCGGATGAGAGGGACGTTTGCTCTGCTGTGGCCTCGTCAAGAGGTCAAGACCGCAATTCAGAGGCAAAGGGCTCCCTCTGTTCAGTTCGCAATGTCTCACAGCAAGCAGGCAATGGGTTTTTGAAAGCGATGTGCCGGCAAGATGTCTGGCAAGCAGCCGGGCCTTGGAAGCACCTCTCCCAAAAGCCTCAAGAACACAACAGGATCCAATCACATGGACCAAGAATGACAGTTTTTTGCTTCTTTCTAGTGAGCCTTATGCCCCACTGCAGACCTCAGTCCAGTTTACCCCTCCTCCTTCAACACTCTTAGCCTAAACTTCATGGAGATCTCCTAAGAGTTTGAGTGTGATGCTTCCCAAAGGACCAACCAGAAGGAAGAAGGATGCAGGATACATGAAACGGTACTTGCAGCCTGCAATGGCAGGAAGGCCTCTGCTTGGTTCACCTCCTTCCCACTTCTTCGCACATGTGAGCGGCACTGCCCTTTCCAGCAACACCCTCCTGGCTCCCCGGGTTGAAGTGAGTCACTCCTCTATCACTTTTAGGATCTTGATAAGAGAGGCGAGGCAGGAGCTACACTGCTGGGGCCGGAATGGTTTCACAGCCACCTTACCAGAACAGCCACCGGTTAGACTTCCTGATGCATGCTTTGCCAAAAAGCTATATCAATCTGACATTTTACACCAAGCAGATCAGAAACCATGTTGTCCCATGCAAGCAAGACAAACTCCTATTAGTTGTACCTTTAACTTCACTGTAGATATTGAATGGTTACGCTAAAATGTGAAAGGTCTCAGGCTGTTAGACTGACTTGTTTGAAAAAGTTTAACCTTTTATTAGCATAACATTCAAAGCTCTAGACCAATCTCCTTATTGTGCCATATTTATAAAGTTCTGGAGAGAATTGTTTTGCATAGAATTGCAGAAAAAATAGACCCACTTATGATTCCACAGCAAGCTGGTTTCAGGAAAGAGAAAAGCTGCACATCACAAGTGTTGAACCTAACTCAGCACATAGAAGATGATGTTGAAAGGCAGATTACAGGAGTTGTCTTCATAGACCTGTCAGTTTATGATATTGTAAATAATTGCCTTCTCCTGAGAAAAATGTATAATATCACAAAGGACTACCACCTCACCCGCTTCATAAGAAATCTGCTACAAAACAGGAGTTTTTTTTGTTGAGCTCCAGGGCCACAGAAGCAGATGGTGAAAACAGAACGACCTGCCTCAGGGGAGCATGCTTGCTCCTTCCATGTTTAACATTTACACAGACGATCAGCCAGTACCTGAAGGAACAAAGAGTTATTTCTATGCTGACAATCATGGAATCCCTTTGAAATGGTAAAAAAGAAGTTTTCCAAAGATCTAGGTGCTCTTACTGCCTACTGCAGGGAGAACCATCTGATTCCTAATCCATCTAAAACACAGATGTGTGCTTTTCATCTTAAAAACAGCCAAGCATCTTGACCTCTGAGGATTACCTGGGAAGAAATCCCACTGGAGCATTGCAGCACATCAAAATACTTGACAGTTACTCTGGACCGGGCTCTGACTTACAAAAAGCACCGCTTGATTATCTTGTAAAAAACGGGTGCTAGAAATAACATCATGTGAAAACTGACTGGCACAACCTGTGGATCACAATCAGACATACTGAAGACATCTGTCCTTGGTTTTGCTACTCTGCTGCTGAATACATATGCCCAGTGTGGAATCTCACCATGTTAAAACAGTGGATGTGGCTCTTAATGAGACATGGTGCATTAACACAGGATGTCTACGCCCCACACCACTGGAGAAATTATACTGTTTAGCCGGTATTGCAGCACCTGATATCCACCAGGAAGCAGCCTGTAATGAAAGGACAAAGGCATTGACACCCCCAGCCCATCCTCTGTTTGGATACCAGCCAGCAAGCCAATGTCTTAAACCAAGAAACAGATTCCTAACATCTACAGAGATACTCACAGGGACACCTCAGCAAGCGAGAGTCCAAAAGTGTCAGGCTAAAACCCACTCAATCAGTGGCTGAGACTGGATGAGAGACTCCCTCCTGGGCACACAGAAGACTGGGCAACTTGGAAGGCGCTGAACAGAGATGCAGAGCCAATCTTAAGAAATGGGGCCACAAAGTAGAGCTCGTGACATGCGAATACATAATAGCAAACCGCAGACCACTTACTATAATGCTACCTGAGCCCTGCCACACACACAATGGAGGACCTCCTTACAGCTACACCAGAGGCACTCCAAGTGACCAGCTTCTGGTCAAAGGAAATCTAGTATCATGCCAAGTTTTTAACTTTGTGTTTTCTTGAATACATTATAATTGGACCCTCAATATGCTTCTGACACAATAAAAAAAGCAGAGTCAAAACACAATGGAATTGAGCTGAGGTATAAACTTAGGAGAGTTTATTTATGCATTTAAAAAAGAAAAAAGGCAGAATGAAGCTGATCAAAATAGCTGATCACAGCAACTCCTTTATCGAGCATGCATGTCGACAAAATGAATTCAGTACACCAAATCAAAAAATGCCACATCAACTGGTTGATAAAATAAAATATAGTTCACTCACGAAAGCTTGTGCAAAAGCATCACACAAATACATGTAACTTGGTTGCAGTACATCAAATATATAATCCAAAAGAAAACAAATCAAAAGGTGGATTCCTCAGCTTCCACATAGGCCCAAGAAGCAGGCCATGCTCCATGCCCATGCAAGAAGACAGACAATTGTACTACATAACCAACAACTGGGATTGGACTGGACTGAACTGGAGAACAAAGGAGGAGACCCCCCCCCCCCTTTATAACTTAACTTCAAAGGAATTGCCTACGTGACTTAGAATAATCCTAAGGAAGCCACAAATGGTTTTGAGCAGCTGACCTGCAAGCCGATCCATACCTAGGTTTCAGGATCCTTCTCAACAGAAACGATGCAAGATGGACACACGCTTCCTTCCCAGAGACAAGGGAGGGATCTTTTGGAGGACATTTCAATCTGGCAGCCAACCAACACTAGGAATAGCCAGGCTCCCGAAGGGAGAAATGGGAATACAGTGTTCAATGAAAAATCGAATCATGTCAGGCTACATTGCAATCCACAAGCATGTGGACAATTTCAACAGAAAGGAAGAAAATGAACAAAATCTGGCTCCCAGTATATAAAAACTCTAGAATCAAGACAGAAAATAAAGAGCAACACTCAAAAAACAGTGGCATTGCAGACAATTAACACCTCCCAAACAAAGGATGCCTTCTTGTACAACAGCCAGGCTACCTCTATGCAGATACCCTCACTAATTGGCGAATGGCTTTTTGTATTATTGATATTGATATTGTTGATGTTGTTGATGACGATGCTTTTGTTATTGCCGGATTGATTTTAGATTGTGTTTTGTAAATTGCACCCTGTCCTCTCTATGTTGTACACCGTTGTGAGTCGCCCCCGGGCTGAGAACAGCGGTATATAAGCGCAGTAAATAAATAAATAAATAAATAAATAAATAAATAAATAATTGATTTTGCAGCTACAAGCCTACTCAATGCTAATCAAGCTAGCTAATTACAACATTCACACTTGCCTCCAACAGAAAGAGTTTCTTCTCCAACCTTGTACATTCCACAGATATATATACACCCCACGTGCCTCACTAGCAACAGAACCTCTGAGGATGCTTGCCACAGATGCAGGTGAAACGTCAGGAGAGAATGCTATTGAAACATGGCCATACAGCCCGAAAAACTCACAACAACCTGGTGCTTGCCTGGTGCTTGAAAGCAGCCCAGAAGCCCATTTTCAAACCTAATTAGGCTTGTTTCCTTGTAAAGCCCAGACCCCCAGACCCGCTCTCATGGGTGCTACAAACAACATTGTACGAAAGCTTTTCCCACCAAGGCCTTTCCTTTCATCTCAAGATGAGGAGGAACCTGGAAGGCTCACCTGTGGGCCACAGAGGGTGTTCTTTTCAATGGGAATCAATGAAGTGGAAGAGGGAGACATGCAGGGGATGGGCTCAAGGCCTTTTCTGTTTGAACTACAGGCAAAGCAGACCTCTCCAGGAGGCTCATTATCCCAAAGGTTGCTAATCAGCCTTCCACTACATTGAGAAAGGGGATAAAAGGAGAGGCGAGCCTCTTTTGTTCATACTGTAGCACTGCTTAAATTAATACACAGCTTTTCCTTTAATGGCCCCAAAGGCTAATGAAGGAGCCATGGGGAAAAGGACCCTTTGCTAGGCTGAGTGAAGAACTTCTTCCAATCGGAGCACACCATTAAGACAGGAGGGCCTGCCTTTGGTATGACATAAATTGTCTCAGTCGACCTTTTTTGAAAAGGTGATTGTGCTGTTGCACCAAAGCTGCTTTAAATGTCTCTTTAGGATTAATGTGTCCTAACTTTCTGTCAGCTTGGGGAATGCTGGATTATATTCCGGTTTGAGCAAGGAACCCCACAGAATCAATGTCCCCGCTGCTGCTTTGAGGAAATGGTAACGATTTATTAACTGGTCTTGGGTCTATCTCCAACCAGACACTAACTTGATTTCCCCACAACAAAGTCCATACTTAAAATCTGAAGGGTAACTGATTGCTCCTGAAGCTGTCAGACATGGATGTTTCTGAGACAAAGAGAGGACAGTTTTCTGAGAATTGTTTTCCTTGCTCTTTGTCT